GCGCGCTTTTGTCGAGCGCGCTTTTGTCGACCGCGGTTTTGACGGGTCACGACCAATTCTATACAGTTGAATGTACCTTACCTCCCTGAAATAAACCAATTCTTCATTGGTTCCCTAACCAGATCTCCCAGTAAGTCCTAAAAATGAAATGGAAAGGGGGAGGGTCCTTGGTACTCTTTGAACTTGCTTGTTTTCTTGCAGACGTTTCATTTCCCAAACTAGGTAACATCAGTAGCCAACATCCAAAGTAGCCAATAGCAAACTGATCAACCAAAGAATCTCTAAGACCACCAACACTGACAGGCAAGCCACTAGAATATAAACTGACAGCAAACTGCACTCCATACTAGCCTGATGATGTTGCCTAGTTTGGGTAATGAAATGTCTGCAAGAAAACAAGCAAACAGAGAGCACCAAGGACCTCTCATGTCAACCTTCAGCTTCAAATAGTCTCCTTTATTAATATAATGGAAAGATAACTCATGCAGAGAGTGCAGTCTTTTAAAAGTTGGATCCTCAAGTACTGCCATTTTTGGAATTAAATGTTCTTCAACCTTAATCTCCGTTCCTTGATATTTTCCGGTTCTTAGATATTCCAACATCTCAGTCTGTGATCTTGAACTGATTGAGTCTCTAAAAGTCCCTTTTTTATTTATTAAAGGATCAATTCAAGAATAATTTTAGAATTGCTCTGAAGATGCAATTAAATCAGATTATTATTTTACCCTTGAAGTGACAGTCCAGATCTTTTGAGACTTTTCTCTGTTTGGCTGCACAGAGTTATTACCTTCTGATGGCAAATCCAGGGATGCAACTATTGAAGATTTATACCAAGTATAAGACTTATACTTCTGTCTTATACCAACACTTTTCAAGCTCAGTGAACTCTGCCTACCATTCAAAATTCTTGCGTTCCTAGAGTTTTTCCCTAAGTCAGGCAGATTTTGCTCCTAACTTTAAACTTTCTTACTTCTTCCTTGCTATTTCCATCTTAATTTCAGTTTCAAATCTCATCCAGTCCTTTGGCTAGTGGGGGAATGCCCTAATACCCATGTTTTCCCCAAAATAAGACCCTATCTTATAAAACCTTTTGCAACCAAAAAAGGCACCAGGTCTTATTTTCGGGAGGGGGAGTCGTCCACGGATTCACCTCACTTGCATGCATCACCCCACACACACACACCCAGCCTCCTTTTCATTGTCAGAGGCCTTCAGAAATTTCTTCTGGGGCTGGCAAGGTCAGCAAGGCTTTCCTGAAGGCCTCTGCAGCTGTTAACAGAGCTCTGGATTGATTGATTGATTGATTGATCAATCCAGAGCTCTGTTAACAGCTACAAAGCCTTGCTGGCTGCAGAAGAAATAGGCCAGCGAGGCAGGTGTCGGGGTGTGCGAGGCCTGGCTGCAACTGTCCGAAGGTAAGTAGTAGGGCAGCTCCACACCTCATCCCCACCCTAGCTTAATTTTTACCCGTGCACCCTGGAGTGGCTGGAGTCTTAATGAGGTCTTATTTTGGGGGTAGGGCTTATATTGGGTGCATGTGTAAACATCAAGCTAGGATTTACTTTTGGGGTAGGTCATATTTTCAGGAAAACACAGTATTACAGATCTGTTTAATCCAAACAAGGATGTAGATTACCTTTCTCCGACTTTCTGAATGTTCACCAGTCAGGCTGGCTAAATGTCTCTAACTAGCAAATTGTCCATAAATTATAGCCATAAAG